GAAAGAGTCCAACACTTTCAACAGAATCTCAAACAGTATGAAAAACAAATCCCTTCCCCCGCCACCTATATAATTTGTCTACTTCCTAGCATGTAAACAGAGAGGCCTCTTGGTTGTTGCTGCCCATCTTTTGAGAACAGATCCTCCTTGAAATGCCAGTGACTGCCATCCATAGGGATTTCAAAGGATGTCACAAGCAGAGTTCCAAAAATGTTTTAATTGAAATTTTACCATTAGAATAAATGAGAATGACCCCTTCTTCCTCATGCTACACAGTAAAATTCGTTTTATTTTTTAAAAGAAACTTTAGATTTATTACTTGCAGAATTTCAGTGATTTTTTTTTTTCCTGTTTCCCTTTTAACTTGTGAGTACAATTCTGTCTTCTCCAGGAATATTTTGTTCTGAGGTAAGTTCCAAAGAAGCTTGATCTTCTCAATGGGATATGTGTTTCATGTGGTTTTTCTTCCTTTTCAAATGGACAGGGTGCCAAAGCATGCTTTCTGCGGGACATTCCTTTCTCGGCCATCTACTTCCCGTGCTATGCTCATGTGAAGGCTTCCTTTGCAAATGAAGATGGGCAGGTTAGCCCCGGAAGCCTGCTCTTAGCTGGCGCCATAGCTGGTGAGTGTCCCTCACAGGGCTGTTGGCACCCCCACCTCCCCGCCACTGCACTGGAATTTTTACTTATAGTTCCTGACAGGGCACATATGAGATGGCTATAGATTGCTTTGAAGAGCTACTGAATAGAAAGGGAAAGAAATTAATCTTACTTCTGGCAGATTAGACTATTAGCTTAATTTCTTAACTCCAGAAAAGGCTCATTAAAAATTGGTTCATTTTGTGGTATCGTTGGATTCCAGTTCAAGTTCCGTATCAATTTATAGTTTCGCTTCATAGAATAGGAATGAGAACTGTTCAGTTGGAAGTTTTAAAAAGTTTTAATATTTGTGCATTTGTGGTATGTAAGCAAAAGAGTATAAAAAAGCTTGTCCAGAACTGAAGTGATAATTATTATCATTTAGAGAAAAGAAATGTAGAACAACCAGAAACAACTCGGTCCTATTAGACACCTGATTCCTCCTCGCTGTGTAAGGTTATAGGAACTGGGTGTGTGTGTTAATTGAATTGCAGAGAGAAATGACTGCCATCTTTTTTTCAGTGCTACAGTGGAAATATCAATAGAAAAAAATGGATTCGGAGGTTGGCTTCTACATCCCAGTGTAAATCCCTAGAGGAAATTTGATTATAGACAAAGCAGGAATCAGGTTGTTCTTTGATGATCCTTGTACAGAGACCACAAAGGCCGGAACAATCTGGATTAGCTCTCCAGGTGGTGACAAACATTTAATGAGTTAACCAACCCTAAGGCAGTCATGGGATGCCTGGGCCCAGACAGTTTTGATACAGGTGTTCTCAACAGATATGTGGCTTAAGTCTCCTGAGGACAAACCCCCCTGCTTTGAGAAGCTGCTTGCTGTTTTGTGGGCCCTGTGTCCTGCCTGTAGCCTGGGGAGCCCCTGGAGGAAGGAACCCAAGTAGCTCCTCTTTATTTCTTAATTCATTTTCTTTAAAGGCAGCGATGTTGCTGTATGAGGCAGGATTGTCCCTAGTTGTATGAGTAGAAATGAGACTACTCTATATCACGAAATCATGATTTCAAGCCTAGAATATAAAATTCCCAGTTTTAATCCCAATTTAGCCATTGACTCAGTATATCCTTTATATGTCATTTATATGTGTATAAATGATAATATTTTTGAACCAAAAGGTTACAATACAGTTCGTTTCAAATTACTTGGTTAAAAGAAAGTGGGACCTAATGGGGAGAACTAACATACCACTTAGTAGCGTGTGACCTTGGCCAAGTCACTCAACCTCCCCTAAGCCTTGGTTTTCTCAGCTATAAATGGACTAGACTAGAGAGTGTGGTTGGGAGGCTTAAGTGAGAGTTTCCATGTGAAGGATTTTGTGCATAGCGTGTAGTAAATACTAGATAAATGTTAGCCAGTAGTTTATTGAATCCAAAAGAATCTGTCTGTAAATCCCTCCAAAAATCAATTATGAAATCGGAAGATAAGTATTAGAGCTCAGCTTGAAGTCTAGGACTCTCTCCAAGCTTTGTGTTCTTCACACCACAAAAATACTACCTTTGACTTCTTCCTTGGAGAAGACAGTTAGCAGACGTGATTTCATTTCTGGGTGGGGGCTTCCTAGGTAGTCCATACTACCAGAGCTATAGAAATTACTAGTAGATTTTTTTGTCTTTAAAGATTTATTTTCTCCTTTCTGTTTTTTATGATTATGAAAACAATAATTCTCATCGTAAAATATTTGGAAAGTACCAGAAAGGATAAATAAGAAAATATTACTCATTTTTTCATGACTTTAAGGTAATCCCTGTTCAACATTTTTGCTAATTTTTTATTCCTCAAATGGTTTTTAACAGAATGTAATCATACTGTGCGTACATATGTGGTTTTCACTTAATACCGTATCTGAAGCCATCACAACAAAGTGGTTCATGGCATGGACTGTGGGGTCAGGCTACCCAGGTTCAAATTCCAGTTTGTTCACTTAAACTATGTGCCCTGTGCGAGTTATTCAATCCCTTTCTTTTTGTTTCTCCACCTGAATATGGAGATAAAAGTAGTCTTAGTCTCACAAGGCTAATATGGAGATTAAGTCAATTCATAGATATAGAGGTCCAAGAAAGTGCTTGGCACATAATAAATATTTTTAAATGTTCAATGAGAACATTAATTTTATTATGTCATTTAAAACTTTGCAAACATAGTTTTTAATTGCTACATACTTATCTAATTCTCGGTATTAGATTACCCAAAAAAATTTTTTTAATTTAAATATTTGATGTAAAAAATGTGCTTAAAGGCTTTTCCCTTGTTTTGAGTCATTTTCTTTGGAGAAAGAGATT